TCAAAAATTATTTTTTATGTATTTAAACAACTAACTAAATTTTCCTTTACAAATTTAAGAAATATTTATTGGATATCTTTATTGGATATGTCTTATGGATTTGTACCCAATATGACTATTTACTCTAAATCTGCTTGGAACATTATCTTAGATTGTTGTTATTGAAAATTTATATTTTTTCTTGTTATGTGTATTTAATATTTAATTATTTTATATGTAATAATATGTAATAATTAATTTTTATTTTTTGATTTTTAAAGTAAATTATGGTTGTAGAAAAAAGGTTTTTTTTAATAGAAACTATTGTTTAAATAAAGTGTTGTTATAATTCACTATTGTTCAAAATAACTCTCCGTTGAAATTGTTTTTTTTTTTTAACTGAGTTTAATCCAAAAGAACTTACACAGCTTCCTCCACTATAGCATCGCTGGCTCCTCTTATTTCCACGTTATCTAAAATTGCATTCAGTGCAATTCCACTGCTTGGATCTTGTACAATCTTTATACGTTTCACTATGATGGGATCTAGTTTTCCAACTGTTTTCAGACCAGGAACGCCTTAGAACATTTTTTCAAAAAATATATAGTCAATTTAGTACACATTTTTTAATTTTAAAGCCATTAATTTATTATTACCATCTTTCCAGTCTTTGAATAATACTTGAAAATTATTTGCAAAACACTTGCTAAAACTTTTATCCTCATAATTGCAGGGTTTCAAGAAGTCAGCTGCAGATTTCGAATAATTATGTTAAATTTTTTTGTAGATAAAAAACATAAACTTACGTTTATCACTTAAATATTGAGCGGCATTTGTTATATTTATAATTGTTAATACAATGATTAAAAAATTTTTAAATAAGTTAAGCATTTTTATTCAATTATTATATGAAACACTCTATTTGATTATAAAATTCGTATGCTTGTGCTTATTTTGAGATACTTTTCGGAACTGTTTATAGTGAATGCGCGAATGCTTTGTTATAATTTAAAATCAAAAGTTTGTTGTATCTGCATTTTATTTAATATTTCCTAAAGAAATTCTTATTTTATTTTATTTATTTTTTTTGAGTATAATTTCAGGAAAACTTGTTTTAAATATCGTCACTCTATCAGATTAAATCTATTTACAGGGTAAAAATTACGCATTTAAATATTTGCCAAAATGTTATTTAACTTCTACACAAACTCTGTATCTCTGTCAATACAATGTATACAAATGACCCTGTATCAAGTATTCTGTTCTTAGTGTAACTAAATTAAGCAGATTGTAAAAAACCAGTTACTTTTTGAAACAAAGTTGACAGTTGAAACATTATAAAAAAAGTTAAACAATGTTTATAATAAATTAAAAAAAGTTATAAATAAAAACAAAGAAGACCTTGACTTTGTATCGTAGTATCTAGACTAGATCAGTGTATTAAAAAATTCCCTTATATATGAATATTTATTCTTTTTTTTATTTAAAAACTGTTTGCTAATTGAAGTTTGTTCAAAGGTGTAAAGTCAAAAGTCAAAAATTTTATAATAATTATAAATTTGGAAAGTTAATTATAAGATATATAAACAATAAATTTTTTTTTTTAACTAATTGAAAAATTGCTTTAAGCTATTAAAGTTTATTAAAAAAATATTTTTTTAATTTGTCTACATTTTTTATAAACATTTTATACTACAATAGCAAGTAATTCGTACGAGACGGGCCAAAGTAAATATAGTACGCCGCATCCGAATCGGCTTCCGAATTTGGAAATCGTTTTCTTTGGTACCGAAGACTATTACCGAATCAGTCATTTAAGATAAATTACTAATAAATTTATTTTAATTTGTTTGAATTTTAATTTTATATGTCAGCATGACTTTACTAATTAAATTCTTATTTGTTGATGATATTTTCCGCTGTTTACAGAGTAATACGATACATGTACGTGAGATATTTTTTGTGTCTCTGGCTAAGTAGTTAGTTGTCTGCTTTTATTATGGTTTGGACACATAATCTGATTGCTCTTTTTCTAAGTGTTTCATTTAATATTTAAGTAATTACATTTTTATTACATTCTGTTAATAAGAAATACATGATGAAAGCAGTTTTTTAAATTTTTTATAATTTGTAAAATCATAAATTTTGTCTGGATGACGGGGGAAAAACTTTTTTTTGCCAAAAAAAACACTTTTATTAACCAATTTAGTAGTCAAAAATTATCTAGAAAGTAAATCCCATATTGTTCCTCCACTCAGTAGTTAAAATTTTAGGCGTTTTATTTAGAACAAAAAATGTTCAACCCAAATGGTGCCAATCTTAGACCTATCTTTATTTTTTCCATAGAATCATTATTGTGTTATTGTTCATTTCTGACTATTTTCTAAAAAAACCACAGCAAGTTTTTTATAATGTAAACAAGATAAATCTACGGCGGTCAGTACTTTGTAATGTATGTATTCAAATTTTCGAGCCACGGAAATTTACAATACTTTTTATCTGTGTCAATTATGGTATGTTGTGTTGTCAATAATGGTATATTTTTTCATATCCTGCATTAACCACATTTATATCTAACAATAGAAATTCGATTCAATTGTTTGACCTGATTGTAGTAGGTAATAATGGTTAATACTTTTGCAAGTTCACCAAATACAAAGTCACTTATGGATTTGTGGAAGACAATATTATGTGGTGCAGATGCAGATAAATGCATTTTTTGGTCAAACCAAATACATTTTTTGGTCATCATTAAATTCAATTTGTTATATAGTACACAATAATAATTTTTTATAAAATAATTTTTCACTTAATAATATATATATATTCCATTGAATATTAGGTGAGTACTACAAATAGAGCGGAGCAATGCGACTATACGATGATTATTGCTAGTAATCAACCCTAACCGTATAGAAGACAGCATGAACAGTTCTTGGTATTAAAACCAAAATTTCTTCCTTAAGACCTATCGAAAACTAGATTAAGTAAAAAGCTTTCGGCATAATACTTAATTAATAGCTCTTGATACACACCAATGCCTGATAGTCAAGAAAAGTGTGGCTATATATACCAACTGCCTCCAAGAGGAGTCGACATTTTGTTTTCTCAGACAGATCCATTTGGTTGAACTTGTAATATAACTCATTGTAACACATTAAAAGTTAGTAACTTTGTTTAGTGGTTCAACAAAATTACGGTTTTTCCTACATATTCTGATTTTGAATTCACAAAAGAGTTTTTAAAAACATTTTATAATATTTTACATGATGGGTTTGCAGCTCATCGTGTAAACTTAAAGTCATAGGAAGACATCTTGCTGTACCAACTAAAATCTTTAGTTATTCTAGAAAAACTAGTATCAAAATGACACTTTATTGTTCGTCCAAAGCAAACAAAAATATATACTTCGATTAATAAAGTTTTCGAATTTTAATAAAAAGTGAATAAGATTTCCGTATTTTGAATAATTATTATATAATATTAATGGATTATTTTGACGAAGGCAAAATCAACAATAAAGAATATTATATTACATTATTTGTGTATTTAAGTGAAGAATTTGCAAAATATAGCCTTACCTCGCAAAGTCAAATCTTCTCTTTTATTAGAAGAATACGTTATGACTTAGCGCTACGAAATTTTAGTCCACAATCTTCACATATCCGAATGAAGAAGATATATTCAGGCCAACAATACATGATTCTATACGAAACTTTTGCTTATGGAGCTTCAGCCCCTTGAAGAAATTTTAGATAAACTGTTAGTTTAATCTATATAATAAACAAAATACATATTTAAATAAAATATATATAAAATACTTTAAGCAATTTATTTTTTTATTTGGTTAAAAATATATCACAAATAATTATAGAAATCTTAATAATAATTATTTTATCAAAAACTTAACAAAATAGCTCATTTACTATATCTTAAAATATGTTCTATGCAACAGTATTTCTTTCAGCCAATTCTTTTTCGGAAGGTACATCGATTATGGAATAATTTGCGGGTGCATAATCAAAAATTTTCTTAAAACGAGCTAAAATAACAGCATCTATAGTATCTTCAAGGGTTGGTTTCAGTATATCTATGAAATCACGCCAATTCTCATTAAAAAGTGTATTAGTATTTGATTCTAATTCCTTGTTGCCATTGAAGAGATTATCGAAATGTATGCGAAAACCGCCAATATTCTTAATTTTCGTCTTTATAGATTGTATTTCAGCAAACGTGAAGCCATCGTGATCGCGCAATTTAATTTTAAAATTAAGTACAAAATCCGCGTTGTCTAGCAAGTTATACAGAAAGTTTCATTTTATTTACATATAATTATATATATATAAGCTATTTAATTTTTTATATTTTTTAAAATGAATTACCTGCTTCAATCCACATATCTCCATTGCCGTTGAGCGGTAAAAATAAAATTCTACCTTCAGTTTTGTATTTTGCAGTACCTCGCATTTTCGGCACTGAAGCTTTCACAACAAAGCTGAGATCATTGTTATTGTGTCTAATATTAATATGCAAATATATTATTAAATTTTTAACAGTGTTTCTAATTAGAAGGTGTTGTAGTTGTATAAACTTACGTTAATTTTGTTAATTTAGTGTCGCCTAAACCGTGTATAGATACATTTTTCATTTCAACTTTTAATTGATTTTGTTCGATTTTTAGTCTCTTGATTTCGACGGGCTCAAATTTACCAGCAGAAGGTAAGCCTGGTACTCCTTTAATATGAGGTTCACATTTTAATTAAAAATTTGAACATTATTTAAAAATAAAAAAAATTTCATTTAAGTGTTTAAGATATATTTTTATAATATTACTAACCATTTTTCCAATTTACAATTATTGCTTGCAAATTACTCCTATAGCAGTCATCGAAGTCAGCTGTCATATATGAACAGGGCTTCAAAAAGCTAGCTGGAAGCATATAGAGATATGTAAAATGAATAATGATATTGGTAATATTTATA